AATAAATGTGTGTGTTTGTATGAGACGACGACTTATTTCCCCAAATAGATTACAAACAAATGTTATCTATCTTTCGATCTATCATTTTGTGATAAAGAGGGGAAACGAATGCATGAAATCGACAACAGCAGCAACAACAAACATATTGGAAATTTAACAAAATGCAATTAAAATGCAGCCGGCCAAAGAAAATGTTCAACAAAAAATGATAATTTGTTTCTATACATTCCCTCTGTCTATCTTCATCAATGCATTTAATTCTAAAATTGTTGTTTTGGGGGACGAGGTCGGGGTTTCATACATTAGAAATTGATTTGCCCCGAAACGACGACGAAGAAATTTTCAAATACATTTTAAAGATGAACGAGCAACAAAAAATGGGGGAAATACATTTCAACGCTAGGAAAAATGCCACCAGAACAACAACAAACAGAACTACCAAATAACCAACCATCTGCTTCATATAATTTAGACGATGAAATACAAAAAAAAAAATAATAATAAAATGAAGAAGCAGAACATAACATAAAATGTTTGTTTGGGTCAACGACATTTTATTTTGTTGTTGCTCTTTTTTTGAAATGTTCCAAACATTTAATGATGGATGACGATGAACCAAAAAAAAAATTAAATGAAACGACGAGGAAAAAAGAATGGCCCATTTGAAAATTATGAATAAGCACATTTAACTTCATCATTAATATAAACGTATAACTTTTATTGTTTAAACGCTTAATTATTAAACATTTTAACTTCTTCTTTTACAGATTTAGAAAACCAAAACTGGGATTTGTATTTGTATACTTTGGAAAATTGAAAACTTTGAGTCGTGGCGGAAGAACATTTCAAGTGGAAGGGTTGATACAGACATGACAACATCAAACTATTCATAAGGGTAGGAGTTTTGAAATATCACTTTTTTAGCATATAATCAAATTGATTTTTATATTACATTAGTATGGTTTCAAATTTCTAAATAAATATAAACTGAGTACACGATTTGGTTGAAAGAAATGGGGAGACAAAAGTGCAAGATTTTCATAGAGATTTGTGGAGAGCTATTCAAATTTATCAGACACACCTTTTGCGTGAAAGAAATAAAAAACCTCATCAAATTGGTCCGAAAACAGTTTTATTCTCTTGTCGAAAATTCCCACGAATTTCCAAGTGGACCCACAAACAAATTTTATGTTATATTTGAGGTAAATAAACTGTTCGAATCGAAAATGTGAACAAATTCGAAAATATGAACTACCCCTACATTTAGTAGTCACATTATCGAGAGTTTAATGTATATTGATCATATATTTTAAGTTCTTCGCAAAAATACCTAGAAAACATCAGATTATTCATAAAGGTAAGTATTTTGCAATACATAGTTTTTTAGCATAATCAAATTGATTTTTATTCTAGATTTGAATAAGGATGACTTAAAATTTTCCTGGGACCCACAAATCAATTTTAACTTAAAGTGGGTGTCTCAAAGGGCTACACTTTTTTTTACTCTGGAGAAGCATACGGACCTTTTTCTGATATATTGGAATATCATACAAAATCTTTCTTCCAAAATATATGTATATCGGTCAATCTTTAGTTACCTTCGGTATATTAGAGAAACTTGAATTTTTATGTTTTTTCTATATTCGACAGAAAAAAAAAACACTTCAACAAAATATATTATTTTAGTGGGGGTAATTTAAGACAAAAACAAACCTGAAAAAAATTATCTAATTATTATGTAGAACACAGAGAGAATCTAAATTGTTTAAATATAAACTACACTCTTCTTCTTCATCTGTTTATATAAATATAATTATCTTATAAATTCCAATGGTAAGAATATGTTTAGTTTTATCTAATGAATGAATCACGGTCCGACAGTCAGCCAACCAGCCCACAACCAACCACCACACATTACTTGCGTAAATAATTGTTTTTGTATTTTTTACTTTCAATACCAACAAAGTTGTTATTTAGTTAATTATATACCGTCATTGCATGAACATACATATATAATAAAAGAATACAAATCATAAAATATGTGTACTATTTAGCACAAAAAAAAAAGTTTCTGGATGTAAAGAAAAAATTGAAATTTTACAAATATTAAAATGAGTGTTCCATTGGCGGAATTATGATTAATGCGTAGAAGATTTTCGTATAGATCTGCCATTCTAGACACTATACATGCAAACAAAAAACAAAAAAATTAATATAAATCGAAAATCGGCGAAAAGGGCAGCATTTGGCGCTTATGATGATGATGAGGTGAACACAAAATATGCATACATTTTGTTGTTGCGTATCACACAAACGTAAATGTTTACATTCCGAATGTTTAAATATATGTATGTATGTATTTCCTGTATCTTCTAATATAAATAATACCGAAAAATTTATTTTTAATTTTTCATTTCAGGGAAATGCAAAATTGTGTGTGCTTTTCATCAGTCAGAAAAGTTTGGAAATAAGTTCGATATAGAAAATTTTTGGTTAAAGAAATCTAGTAATTAATCTAGAGATTCTCATATTATGACAGATGTTTTTGAAATTTGCAGAACTTCCTTCCACAACTCCCATCTAAGGAAGTCAAAAGTAAACAGATTTTTGGAAAAATTTTTAATGGTCGGCAGCAAATTTCTCGATATCATATGTGCCCATATATCATATATGATTAGTCACTAATGTTTGGTTATACGGCATTTACATTAGAACTTTTTACCGGGTTAACCTACTTTATGAGGATTTATTTGACATATATGCAAAGGAATTGATAATTGAAACCCACTGGGTTAACGAAAATTTGCTTAAATTTTCACAATATACTCAAAGCAGGTTTCTGTAATTCTCTAAAATGAGTGAAAATTATGGAAAAAATTTCAAAATGTACTGTTCAAGGTATATTAAGAAGGTAACCGTATCAAACCAGCTGATGGTAACATTATATGTCATAACAATTTGTTGTTGTTTTTGATTTTTTTTTTTTCAAACCCATTTCCAAACAAAAATTTAAAAATTGAAATACATTTGAAAATAAAGAATTAAAAAGGCATAGCGGTTAAATTTTCATGGAATCAAATATACCTTGGGATCGAAAAGAAGAGCAGGACCTTTTTGTCTTCTTTATACATTGTTTTCAAAAATTTGAGGGCTTAAATTTTCACAACATTATCACATTTAAAGCACTTTGATGTATCAAAAATCATTTTGATATTTTAAAATTCATTTATTTTAAAAATTTTCAATTTTCAAAAAGTAAAAAAATTTTTCTTTTTTCAAAATGTTTAATTCTGATTGGTTGAATTTAATTTGCTTCGAGTTTTTTATGTCACGGCGAAATTAGTATTATTCGCCTGGTAAACAATTTTGACATATCATGTTCCCAATTCGCCGATGCGGCTACCTTGTATATCTACCTTGGTACTGTTGCACTTCGAACATATGATTGTTCAGAAATTGTTAAATGTTTATATTCCTGTTCTGAGTTGTAAAGAAGAAAAATAATTCTCGGCGAACATGTTTAAAATATAGATCCACGTTTTGATATAACCTCCATATAACGATCTCTCCCCACAATATAAAAGCCATAACTTCAACCTATGTATTCGTCATTTATTATTTTTTTATTCTCGTGATAGAAGTTGTGATAAAATATGAAATAAAATATGATAATGTGCCTGTATTTTTTTTTAATTGGTGCAATTTCTGTTATTTTTAGTTCAAAAACAAGGAAGGAAAATCACATCTCTGCGTCAATAAAATGTAAAACTGATATATGGCCTGATGACTTTATTAATCATATGGGATAAAAAAATGTCATGTTTTTGATATTTCCTTTCAAATGACAGATGTCATCATGTTGTTGTGCCTTCTTAAAATTAATTGAAATTTCACCTTGCATAATTAATTAATTTTAATTAATCTTTAAGCTTGTAATTTTATCTTAAAATATGATTTTAAAATAATTAAGCAAAGTACAAGCAGTACTTTAAAGATTTGGCGCCATTTTTAGATAAAAAACAAAGAAACAAGGAGAGAAATCCAGAGCTCTCTGTCATTATCAAGTAAAACTGATGTATGGCCTGATGACTTTATTTTATTAATCAAATGAGATAAACAAATGACATTTTTGTTTTGATATTTCCTTTTTTTAATCGTTCTTTTTATTTCTCACATAACTCTCACATGCTGACATTGCCTTGCATTTGTGCTCTCCACATGACATTGGCATGCATTTATCAAGACTAAACAAAACGAAAACAGCTGATTTAAGAGCATTACAGAGACTCTTTCAATCAAATTGCATTAAAATTTAATGACTGAATGACTTTTGCAAGAAAATAAAAAAAAATAATTTTGTAATATAAAATAATTAATGAAAAGTATGCATAAAAATATAAATTTCTCCACTTACCATTAAATAAGAAGTTTAAAAAAAGATTCTGTATCAGTTTTTATATTTGTTGAAATAAAATCGTCCAGCGACTGCAAAAGGTGATGGTTATCCTTTGATGGTGTGTGTATGTGCCATGTTCGATTGTGTTTGATACGAAGAATGGTGATGCTGCAGCATTAAGTCGTTGAAGAAAACAAAACCCCATTCTAATTTTGTTGATTTTTTGTCGTTATAGATTTATTGATGTCCTTACATCTTGGAACGTGACAATGATGATATATTAAAAGTATATATATCTAACTATGTATGTAGGTAGGTTTTGTTAATATTGTATAAATGTGTAGTTGCTGTTCTCGCTTCTCCTCAAAATACCATTGAATTCCGTTGGCTTAGCTTTATACTTAATTGGTAGGTGTCGCAGCATTGTATAGAGTACTCTATCAATATTTAACTATTTACAAGATTTGCATCCATCGCCATTATCATCATTTCATGCGGATGAAATGTTCTGGTAACTATGTTTTCTTTTTAGTTTAAATTTCATTTTCATTTGATAACATTTTTTGTTTTGCTTTGCTTTTCTTTTTGTCGTTTTCGTTTTTCATCATTAGGCACGTACAAAGATACCTATACAAGGCCTTTTCTATGTACCTTTACGCAATACCTTTTTGGCTGCCTTAATATTTGGCACTAATGCCTTCAATTCACTGCAATCATCTAGGAATGGATGTTTCAGCAATTCGTCGGCTGTGGCACGTTTATCCACCTCCACCTGTAAGCAGCAATCCAAGAAATCTTGTAAATTTGGACTAAGCTTATCCCAGCTCTTTATGTCGGGCCGACCATTGGCCGCAATCAAATAGAGGGCTCTCAATGGTGTCTCGTACAGGTAGGGTGGCTGACCCTCTATCATTTCGATGGCCATAATACCAATTGACCAGATATCCACTTTTTTGCCATACTTCTTACGTGTCACCACTTCGGGGGCCATCCAATAGGGTGTACCAACCATGGTCTGGCGTTTCTCATCGCCCTCAATGTTGGCACAAAAACCAAAATCGGTCACCTTCACCGACCCATCCATGCCCAGCAGAACATTATCCGATTTAATATCACGATGTATAATACCCTTGGAGTGTAGGAAACTAATGGCATACAATACTTCACGGCAGACACAGGCAATTTGTCGCTCCTTCATCACGGTCTCGGTGACAACATCTGTCAGCGGACCACCATCCATGTACTCCATAATGACCCAGAGATGATCCTCAGGTTCCAATAGATAGGCATCCAAGAAATTGACCAAATTTTTATGATTGAAATCTTTAAGGACTCGAATTTCAGTCAAAATGAGATCTTTGGAAGATTGATTTTTCAGATCGATTGTCTTGACAGCCACTTGATTTTCGGTTTGTTTATCGGCCGCTATAAAAACAATGCCCGAGGCACCTTTACCCACTTCCTGGGTAGTTTTATAGCGTTCACGCGGATCGTCCAGATTACATATCGCTCTGAGTTCCTCATAAATTTCTGAGTCAGTTTTTTGGCCACGCTTATCCTTGGAACGTCTCAGAATGGTCTCATCACCGTCACCTTCGCCATCAGTTGTGGCCGGCTTAATGATAATGGTATCTGTGTTTATGACTGGATGGCTGTCATCTTGGCTGGTTAATTTGCTCAGATCGGCCAAACCTTTGGAATGTTTGTGCGATATGCCCTTGGGTTTAGGTTTGGTCTGAGGTTTGGGTGGCAAAGTTTGTGTTTTTTTGGCAGGCAGTGGTGGCGGCAATTCACCCGTAATGGCATCAGGTTTCAATGTTTCACGTTGTTCCAACGTGGACTCCAACTCTTCGATCACTTTGTTCAGGCCGGACAGACAGCTGTTACTTTGGTGTTGCTGGTCATTAAAACTATTATTGCTGCTGCTGCCGGCAGTACTTGAGCCACTTATGGTGCCACTGCCATCACTACTCCGTTCATCCTCTGACTTGTCCAAGTCTTGTGATTTATGTTTGTTTTTGTAGTTGACATAATTATCAATTTCCTTGGATTCTTCGTGTATGGCCTCCTCCGTAATGAATGGCTTAAAGATGACATCGTTCTCCTTCTTCTTGATGGAATAATTGTAGAATTTTACCGCCTGATAGGCAGCATCGGGATTTTTATCTTGTTCATCGCGTGTAATTTGGGCATTCATTAACCGAACCCAGGGTGCGGGTAGGCCTTCCAACACGCCAGTCTCTTCGTTGCGCGACACATGAAAGTGTCGTTGAAAATTGGTGGGATTACCAATTTCTGAAATGGGTTCCTTTTTGCGGAACCAACCTTTAATACCTTGAAAACCTGACATTTTGCTAGGTGGCTGGTGGTATTCTGTATATTCTGTATAAAGTCAATAAATTATTATTATTGTGTGTGTATATAGATTTGGAAGTGGGACACTTTTATTGTCTGTCTATTTGGTTCACTTGGAATGAAAAAAGGCGAATTCGTTCGTTCCTTTATTGCTGCTGCTATTGTCTGAGAATCATTGAATGTTTTGATTCTCCTGCTGCTGCGGGTGCATGTGTCGCCGCCGCCGCGTGTGAGTCATGCAAGTTCTCCCTATGCCGCTAATTCCAGCAGCAACACCACACAATTCCGTCCGTTTAGTAAAAAAAGACGAACGAATGGAGAAAAAACGTAGCAACGATAGCAACCAACACACAACTGCACCACCACCACACAACAATACTAGTACTACTAATTTTTTTCTTCACTGCCGACGACGACTTTTGAACTCCCGACGAACCGACGAAATTCGCTCGCCTTTGTTATCACTCACTCACTTTGCTCGGTCGCCTTATTCCACTTTAAATTTTTATTTTTCTTTTTTTGGAGTACGCCTTTATCGTTGTGTAAATATTATTTTATTAAAATCACCATCATCATTATGATTTTTGCTGTTCACTCCTTGAAATGGTTTCTTCTTTCTTGTAATTTTTAATATGTCCGGAATTTTGCCTTCCTTGATTTTATTTTTTCCTACTTTGTTTCGTTTTACACTTACACACATACACAATCAAAAGGAGTGGCATTCATGTTACTCTTCATTATTATATCTTCTCTCCTTCTTGACTGCAGAACTTTTTTCTTTATCCGTTTTGTTGTATTTGTAAATGCACATTTGATTAAAACATATTCGATTTTTTTCTGTTTAATATTATTTGTTTTGCGTTGTTGTTTTTTTTTTTCTTTTTTCAATGACCTATTTGGAAGTTTTTTCCATGTTATGTTTTTTTGTTTCTTGTATCGACTCGTTTCTCCGCGTTAATGTTTTATCAAAAAGTTAATTCATCCTCTCCGTCTAAAACTAATGAATATTGAAGTCTTCTTCTTGTGGTTAACACAGTCACTTTGCATTGATAGCCGCCTTAGGTGGAGTGAGCAGCGATAACCGATAGTTGAATTATCGTTGACAATTGATGGAGAGAGGGAGATAGAGATATTTTCGGGTATAAAAGCGTTCCGCAAAGATACATTTTGAAAGAAAAGAAGAATAAGAAATGAACGTTATTTTTTCTTATATAATTAATTAATTGTAAACAATTTGAACGGTTATTATAAAGTTCCAATCGATTAATGGCTATCAACATTTTGACATAGCAGACAAAGAGGGATAGAAAGACCGAGAGAAAACAAGAGTATTCACAAAATGATAGATGCCAAAAAGGCGCCAAATGTCATTTGCTGGCCATTAATTAGTAACATTTACCGAGGGAGTGGTATTATAATTCTAATTTATTAAAAAATGTAAGAAAGAAAGATAGAAATGTATGTATTGAGAATTTCAAAGAAAAAAGACATCAGAATTTGTGTAAACGGATGTTTTTCCCAAAAGAAAATATATAAGCCAAGCGAAAGACTATTCAAAGATTACTACAACGCCAAAGAAATAAAAGGCGCCAAAATTTAGAGTTCCCCAATGAGAAGACTTTAAATTAAATTTTGTTTTCATTTTTAATAAAAAGGCAGAAAGAAGAAACAAGCATTGTTTTTTATAAAGAGATTTTATTATAAAGAAATTTCCAATTAGAGGTATTATTTTTACTTTTTTGGATATAGGATTGGATTTTTATTTCATGAAGGTATGTCCCGCTAATATTGATAATTATTTTCAGACCATCTAGTGGAGCACGCTTGATCAATATTCGATTAAAATTTTTAAAATAAGCATTTTCTATTTTTTATTAAACAACACTAGCGCCCTCTGTAGTTTTCATGCCATGTTGAAGCAAACCGGAAACCGTTTCAAATTGGAATTTCAAAAACAAAAATTCTCATTCCTATTGCACCACTTTTGTTTTGTGAACACCCTAAGACAAAAAATGGAACACATGTCGTTGGTTGGCAGCGTCTGATGTGTTTATGGCGGTGACCCCCAAAACTTTTTGCACGCTTTATACTTAGAATAATGGATTGACAGTGAAAAAGATCAACAACACACATACCAATTCAATATTGCCAACATCTGGAAATAGTTTATTTGTTTAATTCTTTTTTCTTTCTCTTCTTCCAGAATACTATTGGCGGTCCCCCATGTTGAGTTGGTTAAAGGTTGCGTATAGGGCTCTTCAGTTGGTTTTTAATATTGGAAGAGGCAGCAACACAGCATCATCAAGGAGAATCGAATCGAATAAAATGATGGTGAATATAACAAAGTGGACTTTTTAAAAATAAAAATAATTTTTTTTCTTTTTTAGCTTTCATATTTGTTTATGGCAATTTTGGCAGCCAATTTATATAATCAGGCCAATAGTGCTGGTTTACCAAAACCGCAATTGCCACCACCAATTGGCCAGTCCTTGTCTCGTGGTCCCCCAAACGAATATCACGAAGACAATAATAAAAATTTAGAACATAAAATCGAAACCCTCATAGAATCTATGACACGCATGGAAAACTCTATACAAAATCTCCAAGAAAAATCCCACACATGGTCCATTTTTCAACATCACATTGCGTCATGGAATGATGGTTTACGTATTTTGGAAAATAAATTAGATTTTCTAAAACGTTCACAGGAGGAGCAACAATTGGCATGGCATAAAATGACGGATGTTATGACCACACCACCAGATACAACCGTTATAAATGAAATAAAGGATACGCTGAAAAGGGATCAACTACTGCAAAAGGAATCGGCCACAAAAGTCAATTCGATATTACGCCAGCTGCAGTCGATGCACAGGGATAAGGTTGGACACAGTAATGCTGCAACGAATGGTAGGAAAAAATCCAATTTAATGGCAGGAGATACGGGGTCGTCGTATTGTAATGGTAGCCACAAACTGGAACAACGTTTGAATAGCATCCATCATCAAATGGCATTGCAAAAGGATCTCAAACAATTACATTCCATGGATAAGCGTATGGGTAAAACCATAGAAAACCTTTCGCAATCCATGGCCCATGCCTTAGATAAGCAAGAGGAGCTGTCTGTACGACTTCAACGGTCAAATGAATGCTGCTATGCCCTATCTAGTGAATTGACGACATTTACTGAAAGTTCAGATATCCTGTTGAAACGCATAGAACGTCTGTTGAAAAATGTCAACGATAAATTGAATAGACTTCATGAAAATACTAATCAGGAAGATCAGGAGCAGGAGGGGGAGGTAGAGGTAGAGGGCGAACATGATCATAACAATAGTAATAATGATGATGAGTTGCTGGAGAATACCACTCAACGTATAAATTTAGATGATGTATTTCATGAAGAAGAAGGAGAGAGTCAAGGACATCACGTTTATGAGGAAGTGGAGGAGAAAGACGTCGACGGAGAGGAGGAGAATCACATATCGGGAAATATTAGTGATGAACATGATGAAAATAATAATAATGAGGCGGGTCATACTGAATTGTATGGACATGATATTGGTAAGTGGTGAACTTCCATGGAACATTCCATTTCATAAGCACAGATTTTTTAAAGCATCGGTTTTCGAAAGGAATATTTTTCAAGAACTATTAAAAAAACCAGGCGTGGATTTTTTAAATAATATATTTTTTAAATACCAAAACAACGCGAGGTTTTTTTAAAAAAATTGTGTTTCAAGGTGTGGATTTTTTAAAGAATATTTTTTAAGGAGTGGATTTAAAAAAAAAAATATTTTTTAATGGTGTGGTTTTTTTAAAAAATATTTTTTCAAGGGGTGGATTTTTTAAAAAATATTTATTCAAGGAGTGGATTTTTTTAAAAAATATTTTTTCAAGTGGCAATATTGCTTGGACCGACCTGGATTTTTTTAAAAAAATATTTTTTCAATTGACAAAAGGGCATGGCCGACCTGGATTTTTTAAAAAAAATATTTTTTCATGTACCAATAAGGCGTGGAGGGACCTTATTTACCTGATTTTTTTTAAAATATTTTTTCAAGGCGTGGATTTAAAAAAAAAATATTTTTTCAAGTGCCAATAGGGCTTGAACCGACCTGGATTTTTTAAAAGATATTTTTAAGGGCCAGAAGGAAATAATTTTTTTGTTTGGAAAAGTAGGACCAGTAGAAGGTGTGGACCTACCTGCATTTTTAAACGATTACTTTTCAAGGTATTTTTTTTTAAACATTCTCTTTTCTTTTTTTCAGAATTTCTCCGTCCCGATTTAAGTGGTTGCCATGAATTAACCGCTGAAAATGGTGTGGATGAGACACTGCGCATCGATGGCATCTATAAATTTGCTCATCCTGAAATCAACGAATTTGAAAGAGATTTCAATGAACGTCTTTGTATCTTTCCACCTCCTCCTCTACCTCTCCACAACAAAAGTGATTCCGCAGCAGCACGCTCCAACACACCATGGACCGTAATACAACAACGTATGCTCACGGAACATCCGGAAAATTTCAATCGTTCTTGGTCCGAATATCGTAACGGTTTTGGTTCGCTGCAGCGTGAATTTTGGTTTGGCAATGAATTTATACATCGTTTGGTCTACAATGACGACTATGAGCTACGCATCGAATTGGAAGATTTCAATAATTCGAAAGTTTATGCTGAATATGGTGTATTTCGTATCGATAGCGAAGAATTCAATTATAACTTATTAATTGGCGAGTACGATGGAACGGCGAGTACGGTCGGTGATGCCATGAAATATCACAATGATAACGACTTTAGTACCTATGACAGGCGTAACGATAAAACTGTGGATGCCTGTTGTTCATGTGCATTGGGTTATGGTTCGGGTTGGTGGTTTGATAAGTAAGTGGATTGACATGAAAAGAGATAGAGATAAGGACAAATGTAATAATTATGTGTATGTGTGTCTGTCTGTTTGTTTGCTTTGTTTTCAGCTGCTCCGAGGCAAACCTAAATGGCATTTATCGTTTTACACCTTGGGGCAATAATTACAATGGCATTATGTGGGAATTGTGGCATGGTGATTATTCCTTGAAAAGTACCCGCATGATGATACGACCCAAACAGTCAAACAATGCAAATGAAGACAGTGCTTTGTATTCATCCACGTCATATGATGATTTAGAGCAGGACCATCAAAATGAAGATCCTTAAGCCTGGCTTGATAATTTTTGTAACAAGCTTTTATAATCTGAAATATAGGTTAAAGACAATTATTTTTGTGTATTTTTTCAAGATCAGTGGAATTTTTCGATGGTCAGAGGAATTTTTTCTATAGAAAAAAAGTCCTCATAAGGTTCTCAGGATTTCATTTTCTATAGAAAAAAGTGTCCTCAGAAGGTTCTGAGGATTTCTTTTTCTATAGAAAAAAATAATAAAAAATAATGAAGGGTCTGAGGATTTTTTTCATAGAAAAAAATACCCCTCAGAAGTGTCTAAGGATTTTTTTCTATAGAAAAAGTCCTCGGTTGGGTCTGAGGAAATGGCCTGGTGGATTTTTTTCAATAGAAAAGAAGTATTAAGCGGACCTGAGGGATTTTTTCTATAGAAAAGAATTCTCAGATGGGCCTGAAGATTTTTTTCTGTAGGAAAAGGAATCGTCAGGAGAGTCGGAGGAATTTTTTCCCATAGAAAAGAATTGTCAGGTGGGTCTGAGGAATTTTTTTCCTATAAAAAATAATTCTCAGGTGGGTCTAAGGATAATTTTTTTCCTATGAAAAAAAGAATCTTCTTATAAAAAATAATTCTCTGGTGGAGCTGAGGAATGTTTCCCTACAGAAAAAATTTCTCAGCTGGGCCTGAGGAGGGATTTAAAAAATGGATACTCAGTTATAATAAAAATATATATATATTTTTTTTTAATTTTTTGTTTATATATTTTTTATTTGTTTTTATTTCTTTTTTCAAATTTTTATTTCTAGGTGTGTGTGTGTTTTGTTGTTTTCTTATATATATATATATATATATATATAGATTTAGATACGACGAATGCAATTATAAATTGCATTAATTGTTATGATTAGCTTAATTCGTAATATAAGAAGAAGTTATTAACCAAATTTAATGATGATATTTAATAATAAACATTACAAACAAATTAATAATAATTTTTTTTTTTAGTTTTTTTATCGTTTTTTTAATTATAAGTATAAAAGTAAGTATTTATATGTAGTATCTAAAAGAGTTACGATATTGGTAAATAAAAAAAAACAAGAAGACGAAGGGAATCAGCTATGATTCGAAAAAAGTTAATTCTAAAAATAATTTTTTTTTATTTTAAAATTGAAAAAAATATTGATTTTTTAGTTTAGTTCATTGTGAAACAAGGTGAGTGGGAGGACATGAACCACTACTTTTTTTAAATAATTGTTTTTTTTTTTTTGCTTGGGAATTAAGCAGCAATTTTTATTTAAGTTGTTGCATTTGAAAATAAATACATTTATTAATGTTTTCTTTTCATTTGTTTTTGTTTTCTTTTCTTTTATTTGTTTTTTTTAAGGAGCCAGAAATATTTGACACGCATCTAGGCTGAAATGCGTTAAGCTTAATTATATTTTACAAAGTTTGTTGTTGTTGGTTTCGTTTTGTTTTAACTTTGAGTTTGTGTTTTTTGTTTGCTTTGTCTGTATTTTTTTAATAATGACAAAATCTATAAACGCCCTTAAAATAATTTTTCATAAAACTAAAAAAACAAAAACCCGAGTTATAGGCTATTTGCTATATAAATATTGTTTGTTGATTACACTATTTTTTTTTATTTTATGTTTGTTGTTCTTGTTATTGTAAAATTATTTATATATACAGTTCTTATTTATATTTAAATTTATAAAGTCAGCATTAATGTTATTTATTTGTATTAGTTTCTTGTATATACACGTTGTTGCTGTTGTGTTTATTATTTAATGTTTATATAAGCTCTCCAGAAATAAACACAATTTTGTTGTTGTAAATGAAAAAACAAAAAAATCTCGGAGCGTCTGAGAAATTTCTTTCTATTTAAAAATGATCCACCAAGTGCCAAGGAATTTTTCTCGGAAGAAAAATTATCCTCTGGCTGGCCAGGGGCATTTTTTTCCATAGCTAAAAAAACCTCAGAGGGGAAAGAAGATTTTTCGATAGAAAACAATTTTGGAGGGTCTGAGAATTTTTTTCAGTTGAAAAATGATCCACCAAGTGCCAAGGATTTTTTTTTCGATTAAAAAAATAATCCTCCGGTTGGCCAGGGGAATTTTTTTTTCAATTAAAAAAAAAATAATAATAACAATCCTCCGGATGGCCAGGTTATTTTTTATAGAAAAATAATCAAGAGGGTCAGGGAAATTGTTTTCTAAAAAAACGGCTCTGAAGGGCCAGAACGTTGCCAGGTCTGAGTAATTTCTTTTTATAGATAATTTGCTCCGATTGGCCAGGAACATTTTTTTCAATAGCAAAGAAAACCTTAAGAGCGGAAAGGGTATTTTTTTCGATAGAAAAAAATCCTCAAGAGCGCCAGGGATTTTTTTTCTATAGAAAAGCCTGAGTAATTTCTTTCTATAGCAAAAGTTTGCAAAAGAATGCTCAGAAGAGCATGAGTATTTTTTTCTATAGAAAACCAATTCTGAAGTAGCGTCAGCAGGATGACCTGTGACAAAATAATCCTCCGGTTGGCCAGGGACATTTTTTTTCAATAGCAAAGAAAACCCTAAGAGGGGAAAGGGAATTTTTAGTTTTTAGGAATAAAAAAACAAATCCTTAGGAGGGCTAGGGAAATTTTTTTCTATAGAATTTTCTTTCTATGGCAATAGTTTGTTGCTCAGTATAATCAAAGAAACGTTTCTATGTCAAAAGAATGCTCAGAAGGGCCTGAGGATTTTTTCTATGGAAAAACAGTTTGAATGAGTGTGTGAGAATCCCCAAAATGGCCTGAGAATCCTCAGGATGACCTGTGGATTTTTTTCTATAGAAACAAATTCTCAGATTGGCCTAAACGTTCCCACGATAACCTGAGTAATTTTTTTTTTATTGGCAAAAGACTCCTTGGAAGGACCTAAGGATTTTTCAATAGGAAAATAATGCTCAGGAAGGTTTGACAATGATCGGGGTGACCTGTGGTTCTTTTCTATAGAAAAAAAATGCTCAGAATAGCCTAAACGTTCCCACGAAACGTCAATGTATGTTCTATAGAAAAATAATGCTCAGAAGGGTTTGAGAATGCTCGGGATGACCTGATAATTTTTTTTTTCTAATCCTCAAGATAGCCTTGTGGGAATCAACAAGATGGCCAGGGAGTCCTTTGAATATCCTAAGGAATATTTTTAATAACAAAAAACCTTAGGAGGTCCTGGAAATGTTTACTGAGGGTTTTTTATATAGCAAAAGAGTCCTCAGGAGGGCCTGATGAATTTTTTTATATACCAATTTTGTTCTATAGCAAAAGAATACTCAAGAAGTTCGAAGAATTGTTTGTTTTATAACATTTGAGAATTTTTATAAAAAAATGCTTTTCTACAGACAGTTTAATTGAGGTAGAGTTTTTTTTCCTGTAGCAGAAAAAAATGTGAAGAGGTCCTGTATGAATCCTCAGTATGACCAAGGTTTTTTTTTTTGCTGTAGAAAAAAAAATCATCAGGATTTTTTTTAAAAAAAAACCCCACCTCATTGAAAAAAATATTACTCAGGTGTGCCCGAGGATTTTTTCTATATCAAAATAATGCTCAGAATAAACAGAGAATCCTTGGGAGGGACTGATAATTTTTTTATTGCAAAAGTTTCCTCAGTTGTTCCTGATAAATTGGCCATAAGATTTTTCTATAGCAAAAGAAAAGGCCCTAAGATTTTTTTTTATAGAAAAAGAATCCTGTGAATCGCCAGTATTATCTGAAAAAAAATACAAATGTGTGAAAATCATAATAAAAAACAAAACAAAATTTGGAGGCCACTGCTATTTAGGGCTGTGCCTAAAGGTGGATCAATATAGAAACCAAAATATCAAATAACAGTCAATTCGGTTTGAAAATCTATCCAAATTACTCAAAATTAGGAGGAAATTAAAGTGGAACAATATATATAACTATTTTTAATATAGACAAAATCCACTTGTGTATAATATTTGAAATTATTTTCCTCCAGAACTCTAAAATTGAATTTTTTATTTATTAAATTGATTTTCCTCTAGAACTCTAAAATTGAATTTTTTCTATAGAAAAAAACAACCCCAGAATTTTTTATGAAAAAATATGAGGAAATGTTTCTTTTGAAAATGAAGTAGCTTTTCGAAATATTTAAACTTTGTGTTGATGGGGGATGGTGGGGGGAATATAGAAATTTTATTGATAAAAATTTCGTTTTTTTAAGTATTAATAATAATTTTTGTAACATTTCTGTTACAAAAACTCATACATAAATTATACATTTGATGGATGCTAGATATATGGGAAACATTTTTGTGTTTTTAGAGAATTTCTTTTGCATTATAAAATAATAATTGTAAAAAACGGTTGTTGTTATTCTGAATTATTAATAATAATAATTTTAAATAAAAAAAAATATGAAGTTATGTACTAAGAAGAATATTATAATAAACACAACAATAGTTTAATTATATATGTACGCATATAGAATTACATAATATTTAATAAAAAAAATAGTATAATAATAATTATAGATAAGTTACCTCTCTCTCTATATTTTCTCTTTTTTCTGTTTCTCTTTAAATGTCTTAACAACAATAATCCAAAAAAAGAAGTAGAACATGAAAAGAAAATTCAAACCGAAAAGATGTTGCTCTATACAGTTTTCTTACGCGATCGATCCTCTGTTTCACCACGCCATTCCGGATCGTTTGGATCATCATCTTGAAACGGCTCCGTTTCTGTGGAATCACCATCACTGTCGCCATCATCATCATCATGAATATGGCGATGATGCCTACGCTGCTGTTGTCTATTCGAATACAGATAATCATCGCCATACATATCGTCGTGCATAATGCCACCGGGATCATCACAATCATCGGCGGTCAAATGATCATCGTTATTAGTGGCCAAATGATGTTTCGGGTAATCATCGTAGTCTTCATCATGAATGTGTTGTTGCATTGTTTCGAGTGTCATCATGGCATTGACATCATCTGTGGAAGAAGTCGTTTTTATTGAACCACCCCCTGCAGCAGCCTTAGTGCGTCGTTCGCCACCACACATTGTGGAGGAGCGTGAGGAACGTTTTGAAGATGTGCCAGCAGCAGCAGGACCACTACAATAACGTGTTCGTCCTGGTAGATAACACTCATCGAAACGTTTGCTATCTTCATTGTGTTCGCTGGGCATAGCACTTTGCAGTTCTTCGAATTGTTCATCGGTTAGGGGGAATTTCATGGGTTCATAGGGTGGTATAAGCTACAAAAATCACAATGAAAAAAAAAAAAATATTATTTTTTTCAAAAAGGTTGCAATTTTTTGGAAATAAATATAAAAAACACCTAGTCGAAATTCTTAAATTCCCTCCTTTATAAAGGCTACAGCAAAACATGGGCCTATATTGGTAAATTGTAATATGTTTATTTATCACCCAATCTGTCCAAAAACTTAAAATTCTCAGGTACGCTTGTGTGGAGGCTATACCCAAAATCTGTTCAAAAGTCTTAAATAACAAAAAGTGGGCATATTTTGACAATTTTTGGTATGGAAAGAATGGTTTTTTCACGACCCCAACTGAACTTGGATATTGTAAATAATATTTTTTCTTGGAATTTTTCTAAAGAAAAAAATGTCAAGGGACAATAATAGAGCACTTATATGTATATATATTTAAAGATTTTCAGTTCTTATGCATATCTTGTTTGAATATAAGTTCTTTTTTTCCTCGACCTTCCATAGGTCTGCTATGAAAAAAAGATATTCAACGAATACAAGACTGGTCACAGATCTTATACGGACAAGAGTCGATAAGGATACATAGGAACTTCTATATAAGAAGTCCCCAAAGAATACCTTGTAAATGGACTATTATCCATTAAACAAAAATGTGGAAGACGACCTTTGCCAGAATGGTTAATAAAAATAACAAAAATATTCTCCTTCGCTTACCTCTTTGGAATCAGGAGTTGAACTTCGTCGTTCAAAATCACGTTTCGCCGATGTTGTACGCCTTCTTTCCTGGCGTTTACTATTGTGACTCGGCATAAATCCAACGCCCAAAAATGAGGCTAAACGAAATAAAAACAAAATAATTTAAATGAATAAAAATATTGAAATATATTTTCACAAAACATACTTGAATTATCTCCCGCCTCTGAAATAGTATCCAATATATTCAAAGGTGTCGATGGAGTTGATGGAGATGGTATACTCTGTAATAAACAAAAACAAAAACGTTTTGTTGGAAAATTTCCTTAATTATTTGTTGGAAGAAGAAGAAAACCTACATCTTGATCCCCACCACCAACACTGGGCGTATGCGGTGCCGGTGAACTGGGATCTGGTGTGTTCGCACCACTCGATTCAGCCCGACTATCAATACGTCGATTGGCTCTTGAACGAGTACTCCAGGGGAATTTTAAGAATGTTTGGAATTTACGCCGTTCCTCAGTCAGGGCACGTTCATGCCTTAAAATCATGGCCTCATCGGATATATCTTCACAATATTCTTCTTCGTCTCCAGCCACCACATCAGGCGTATTGTCAGCAGCAGCAACACCTGAAGTATCCTTCTTGTTCATCTTCTCGTTAGGATTTGCAATTTGTACGGACGTTGTATAGGACGAGGAAGAGGAAACAGATGTCGCTGTTTGTGGTTGTTGTTGTATTTGAACTTTTATCACATTTGATTCTATTTTTGCTTTCTTCTCTTGTGGTTCCTTAATTTCACAGCTACTTATTACAGCATCATTAATCTGTTGTCCATTTTCTATACAGTTTGAGGCATTATCGACAACATCGCTGTTAGTTGTGGTAGTGGCAGTTTGATCGGATTTGAAATTATTTTCCTTATCACTTAGTTTGTGTTGAGCACTGCTAACAACTACCGATAAAGAAGGCGGCACCATTTTCATTTTGTCTTCGTCTTCTTCGACGGGGGGGTTCGCTGGTGGTGACTTTTTCGTGCATTCATTTTCTTTAGTGGATGTCTGAATACTGGGGTGTATTTCATTACCGACCTCGTTGTCGTCGCCACCGCCGCCACCATTGGATGCAATATTTTTTTGATTCACAATTTCAATATTTGTTGTTTCATCGCTTGCCGCCGCCGAGGGTGTATTAACAATACGCCATCTAAAATTATTGAAAAAAAATGCAAAAATAAGATGGTTTTATTTTTTATTTTTTTATTTTGGGTATTTTGTAGCACACATAGGGCGTTGATATTTAAAAGAATATTTTTTTGAGAACCGAGAGAGTTTCGACTATGACTTGTATTTTTTTCTACGATCAATAAAGCATGGGGGTGGCGTAGACGATGATAGATACCAAGCAACATGGTGAAGTCCAGGCTTATCTGGGTCCCTCTTTCATCTCAATTGTGGATACTGGCCTCCCCGTGGTACCTATTTTCATCACCCGATGAAATAGTGAGCTAATATGGTCTGAGGCGTCGGGTTAGTTGCCCACACTCGAAAAACTGAACCAATATGAAAAAGCAAAGAAAAAGAAAACCAAACCCACCTAATGTTGACGACCCCGCAAACGTATAAAGGACCACGATCTGCGAATCTGCACTTGGAATGTGCGCACGTTGTACAGAACAGGCGCAGTGTTCGATTTGGCGGATGTACTCAAGAAGTACAAAGCCGATATTATTTCCTTACAGGAAATGCGAGGGAAAGGGACGGGCGTAAGTAAATCAGAAGATTGAGCCCTGTATTAAAGCTGCCATGAAACGAGACGTGAATTTGGCTGCAGAATAAAAGACCTCGTCTCCAGATTCACTCCAGTAGATGAGCGAATTGCTATATTCCGTATAAAAGCGAAGTTCTTCTACATTAGTCTCATTTGCGCCCTTGCTCCGACCGAAGATAAATATGAACATACCAAAGACATATTTTATCAACATATGAACCCACGAAAAACACATCGACACATTCCACCTATTCGTCGCTCAGCTTGGCATTCCTGCAAAATTAATACGGCTATGCAGGATAACTTTAACTGGAACAAGATCAGCAATTAAAGTCGGAAAGGACCTCTCGGAGCCCTTTAATACCGAACGAGGATTCAGACAAGGTGACAGTTTGTCATACGAGAGGCAAGAGTGAACATGTTACTGGCATACGCCGATGACATCGACATAATGGGTCGAACACTGAGAGCGGAAACAGCCACCTTTGAACAAATTGAGAAGGAGGCTGCCAAAGTGGGCCTGGCAATAAACGGTGAGAAGACCAAGCTTATGGTATCAACGCGCAAGACGTCCAGTAGACTCGGACCAAATGTGGAACTTGAGAACTACAGCTTCAAGGTAGTCAAAGATTTTATATACCTTGGTACCGCCATAAATAAAACGAATGACATATTTTTTGAAATTCGGAGAAGGATAGTGATGGCCAACCGATGCTACTATGGTCTGAGCAAACAACTCAAAAGCAAGGCCACCTCCCGCCAGACCAAACTCACACTGTACAAGACGCTGATATTACCTGTGCTGATATATGGATCTGAAGCATGGGTACTTGCGCAAGCAGATCAGGCAGTTCTTGGAGTGTTTGAGAAAAAACTCTCCGAAAGAAATATGGGCCGATCTGTGTTGATGGTGAATATCGCCGTCGAATGAACCATGAGTTGTACCAGCTATTTTCGAACATCGACATTGTTAGACGTATTGAGCTGCAGCGACTACGTTGGCCAGGAAGATGCCCCAGCCCAGAAGGCATATAAAAGCGAAACAGCTGATGGTTCACGCAGAAGAAGAAGGTCACGAATAAGATGGAAAGATCAAGTGGAAGATAACATTGCCGAATATGGTCTTTCAAATTGGAAAAACTGCGCATAAGACCGACGCGCCTGAAAATCTTTTTTTAAGCTCGGCTTATGGAACGAAAGTTCTGTCACAAGCCACCTAAGTAAGTAATGTTTCTAGGAACTTTTGGAAGTGAATTTGTGTTAAAAATAGGCTTTAAGTGCAGCGATATCCACATCACATTCTATATCATTATCATTCTAGATAATTCTAAGTCTAGTTTATTCTAATGACTAAAAAGTAACCATGAATTATATCCACATCATTGTATTGTAATTGATCAACATAGGGATCACTAAATAACATAAAATATATGTGTTGCCAATTGCATAATTCACAATATTTAACAATTTGTCAAAAAAAATCTTGCTGTACTTACTTTGGCGTTGGAATTTCTTTATATGGTAGAATTTCAACTCTGGTAGCTGCAGCGACACTATATGGAATCACAATATTATCAATATCGTAGGAAACTCGATTTTTACGATCAAATGATCTGAAAACAAAAAAAATAATTTTATTATTCTTAATCTTTGTATTTAATAAAATTCAAATTCCAAAAAGATTACCTTTCAGTTTTACTATGATAATAACTGGTGCTACCACTGCCGCCATGCGTTGGAGAAGAGGTTCGACTTCGTGCTGTTAGTGAATCAAAACCACCAGCAGACCATTCATAATTATTATTGTTGTTATGTATAAAAGTGGATTCACCAACGCCATTATATAGATGGTGGTGGTTATTATGATGCTGATTATAATGATGAGATGTTGCAGCAGCAGCTGTCGATGCTGATGATAGTTTACGATGTTTATTACTTTTGCTGTGTGGGTGCTGTTGGGAGATCGATGATGAATGTGTTGGGTTGAGATTGTATGGATCGTAGCTTGTCATCGTCGGCTGACAATCGCTCGTTTGATGAATTGAATTCATTGCTGCTGTTGATGGTGCTGCTGTCATTGCTGGTGCATGGGTTGACAAGCGGAGAGGCGATGGCTGGTTGCTGTTGTTGTGGAGCGGCTCCCTCAATATGACATCGCTCAGTATCTGGCAGGTTTGTTTTTTCCCACTTTTGGTCACTGATTCTGTTTCCAGGTTGAGCAAAGCAGACCGAGGACAGAACAAAAGTAAAAAATGTAAAAACAAATTTGTTGATGATATTCAACATTTGTTTTAATCATCCATCACATCATAACATTCAATGGAGGCCAAGCATTTTGTGTGTGAAAAAGTGTGGGGAGAGAAATGAAAAGAAACAAAAAAATGCAAAAAAATTGTTTTTGTTTTATGTTAATATCAATTATCGAATTTTTCATGTTTACAATAATTTACTGTTGGCCACAAGTGGCGTTGTGGACGTTGTTGTAGCCAATGTTGTCGTTTGGTCGTTTACTGAGCAACTCGTCGACGACGACGCCATTTGTGTGAGCCCAGCAGCAGCAGTACCATCACTTATTGATGATGACGTGGGCATTGTACCTCTTGACTGTTGTTGTTGTGTGTTCTTGTCGTCGCGATCTTTTTTCTTGACATAACGACGTTTCATTGGTGCACCACCACCACCAGCCACTGCCTCACGTTCACTTTTCCAAACATTTTTCGCAATATGTTTGGTCGGGCAGCGCATTACACGCTGCTGCCAATCCGGCTGTTTGGCAATGGCTTCAAAGTGTAGGGCATTATTGACATCTAGATTGAGCATGGGAAGAGAATGAAGCAGCCGATCAGATTATTTAGTTGTACAAAATATGGGATAACAAGAAATGTGAGTACTTACTTTCTCGAAAACTAAGAACCGGATGATAACCAGAATCCAATAATGCTATTCTTTCAGACATCATCATGGTATCGGGCAAATCTCTGGGTGCCGTTGGATCGGCACGTCCCGTACATAATGCACATGGATGTATTGGCCATTGGCAACCGCATTTGATTGTGCTGGACAATAGAGACAGAGAGATTAAAAATTAGATATTTTTGAAGGTTTTTTTTAAAGAAATTATTTTTTAAAACTATTTTTTATGGTGACCCCAACAAAGCTTGGATTAAAAAAATAATTTTTTTTTAAATATTACTCATAAGCGTAGATTTTTTGAAGAATCAAAGATCAGGATTTTTTTTATATTTTGTATTTTTTTCACAAAAACTTACCTCGGTCTTGCTGCTTTTTTCGATATGGTATGCATATTTGTTGTCTGTATTAGTTTGCGTTTGCGGAATTGGGATGTATTAAAGCCACGCGTTCGACACGATGTACCCTCAAGAAGATCGTCTTTGTTATCCGCCACTTCACCACCAACGACTTTCATGCCATTTTCATGCGAACATGTTACCACCGGACCTTTGGCTTTGACAATTTCCTGATAGAGTTCACTGTGTTGGCGTATTTTTATTTCTAAATCGGCAATTTGGGAGAGCAGCCACGACCAGCGTGAAGCAATGGCAGCACGATCACGTGAATAACGCCATGCAGCGCGTTTTGTTCTGCGTAAAAAAGAAAATATTAAAAAACGTCTAACTTACATAGAGAAATTTCCAACTTACATCGGCAGCGTTTGTTGTTGTTCATTGTTGTAAATGACCATTTCATCGGCTGACTCACCACCCGAACTTGATTCGGTGGCATCGGAATCAATGGCCCTTTGTACTTCATACATTTCACTTTGTAATAATCCGGCCACCTGGGTCAATTCGGTTGTTACATTTTCATCAAATGTAGCTACAATAATATCTTCGGCTTTGCGATCTTCCAATGCTGAGCTGTTTAACGATGTGGTATCCATAGTTTTCAAATTGCTAGCAGCTGCAGCAGCGGTAGCTGCATTTTGTTGAGCCTCCAATAAAGCTTTTTTCGATTTTTTGGTTGATGCTAGCTGAAAATTATTGTTGTGGTGGGAGGTGGTTATGGTGCTGCTGGTAGTGGTGGTCAGGCAATGCTGTTGGCCATTGGCCACTGTTTCGATTTTACGTAGAAGCGTTGAGATTTGTTTAGCCGGTACCAATTCCTCCTGTTCGCTTTTCCAATCTGTGGCTGGCGGCCGGGCTGCAATTACTTTCTGATAATACTTGATAATGTCTTCACTACTGTTTGTTGTTGGATCGCTGCTGCCGCCAGTATTAACGTCTAGATGCTGATTTGTAACACCTTTGTTCAATTGGCGGGCACTCAACTCGAATAGGCCGGCAATCTCTTCACTGGTATGCTTACACATGTAGCGTGACTGCAGTTTCCTCAGCCGCCTCATCAGTATATCCACCCTGCGTTGCATTTGCCTCTGACGTTCCTCAATGTCCTTTTGAGCCTCCTCCAGTTCGGTGGGCTTTACCGGTTGTATTGAGGGATTGTTGGCCACACTGACGTGGCTCTGACTAACATGGCTACTTGTGACACCAGTCACAGCAACACCTCCACCACCGCCGCTACTACCACTGCCACCGATTTCGCTTTCATTCATTTTCATGTAGACCTCGTTGAAGAGAACATTCAAGTCGCAGACATTTAAATCGGATGTGGTGCCACCTTCAAAGCCTTTCAACACCTTGAAAACTTCTTCGATATCTTGATCTTCTAGTTCAGCACCGGTGGCACTGCCGGCTTCGGCTTCTTTAATAAATGCTGCAGGTATGTTGCCGCTGCCAACGGTATTCACTGATGACACCGTACTTTGGGGCGTGAGGCAATTTTGTTGTTGCTGTTGGACCTGCTGCGGATGTTGTTGATGTTGCATAAGGTGATGATGAGCCTGCACCTGTTGTGATATCGGTGTGGGAGGTGTGTGTTGCAATTGTTGTTGTATCGCCTGCATATCCTGAGCAAGTGATTGCTGGTGTGTGGGAGTGCGCGGGGGTGTTCTGCTGGTGGCGTTGGTATGTGAAGATTCGACAATAAGTTGTGCAGATTTCATCATTACGTCATCCTCTTTATCGTCAACATCAGCATCATTATTTGGTGGCGGGGAGTCAATAGCTGTTCCATCCAACTGACTTAGACGTTCTGAAAGAAAGAAGAAATGTAAATTTCGTATTTTTTTATAGAGAACATTTTAAATTTCGTCGAAATGATTCCTATATAAAAAATTCAAACTTTCGTCGAACTGAAAAATTCTAAAATTTCGTCAAACTTTTTGTAAATAGAAAAATTTGTTAATTTTTTTCTAAATAAAAAAATTCAAATTTTACCTTCTAAATTATCCTCAACTTCGGATGCTGTCATTGTTGAATCGGTATTTACAGGTGGCAGCTCTTCAACAGAAATAATTTCTGGTTTAGAATTCCCTTCTTTTTTGGTTTCCTCTTCGGAATCGGTAGAACCAAGCGGTGATGCAGCCGGAGCACTGCTACAGATATCCATATTGACAGCAACAGTGTCACTTGATAATTGACGACATTCATTTTGAGATTTATTACATCCGGACTCATCATCCTGTAGTGTAGCGGATGAATCCTGAATGAAGACAGCTTCGGAATCGTGTTGAGTTGATGCTGTTGTTGCTACATGATTGGTTTCGCCCGCTTGGAAAATCTCATCATTTTTGTTTGCTTCTGACGCCAATTTTTGATGATGAAATGTGTTGGACTCATTGGTGGTAGTGGTTGTAGTGATGGTTTGATTGGCATTTGCATCTTCTTCGCTACTACACTGCGTATCCATGTGGTGCGCAGTGTTGTCTAGGCCAGTACTGGGAGATGCAGCAGTGTTGGATTTTATAACTACAATATCGTTATCTCGCTGTAACGGCGAAGCCGAACCCTCTTCCTCGGCCACTTTAACTAAGTTGACGTCCTTCAGCTGGTTGCGCAAACAAATATCCGCGGTTATGGCTTCGTTTGTCAAATCGGCCAAAAGTTGAGCTGTTGAAGTGGTTGTGTTGGCCGTGGTGGAATCCTCGTTGACTGATTTCTCCACAATTTTTGTTGCCTCTGCCTCTATATTCTGCTGATGTTCCTGTTCTGCCGACGTACTTGTATTCTGATTGATAATCTGATTTTTGGTATCTAACACGGCCGTGCTTAAGCCCATTTGCTCATTATTTGTAGAATCGTTTGTGGATGTCTGAATGGTGGATTTCCGCAGAGACTGCTGCTGCGACTCTTTACACTTCGGCGAGGAAAGTAAACGATCTCTGGAACGTGCCAAACGTGTTGCGGATGTAGTTGGCACCTGGACAACTGCTGCTGCTGGTATTATCGTATTATTGTTGTTATTACAATTCCGCTTTTCACGTAAGGTCGGAGGAGATTGTTTGAGGTTGTTATTATTATGATTATTATTTGTTTTATAGTTCTTTTCAGAATCAATCCTCCTGCTGGATCTTGTAGATGATGGAGTGGTCGTTGTGGCTGTTAGCTTCTCCTTTGGACTTATTGGCTCTGTTAGAGCTGGCGCCATATTGCTAGTAACTGCAGCATTTGGCTTAGTAGTTCATGATTGCTGGATTACTATTTCCATACTTCGTTGCAGATCTAATACCATTGAAATTAAATCTGCTACGAAATTAGCTCAGAAACCAATATTACAACATGTCTGTAAGTATAGAAACAAAATAGAAACGTATTAAATTCAATATTTGAACAAAATGAGAACGATAAAAAATTAACATTTCAAAAAAATCTTTCCATGTATAAAAATTCTGAATTTTATAGAAAAACTTAAAATTTCGTCGAATTTGTTCTATATAGAAAAATTTTAAATTTCGTCGAAATTTTTTTATATAGAAAAATTAAAAATTTCTTCGAAATTTTTCTATATAGAAAAATTAAAAATTTCGTCGAAATGTTTCTATATAGAAAAATTAAATATTTCGTCAAAATTTGTTTATATAGAAAAATTATTAATTTCGTCGAAATTTTTTATATAGAAAAATTTAAAAATTCGTGGAAATTTTTCTATATAGAAAAATTCAAAAATTCGTAGAAATTTTTCTATATAAAAAATTCAAAATTTCGTGAAATTTTTCTAGAAAAATTAAAAATTTCGTCGAAATTATTTTATATAGAAAAATTCAAAATTTCGTCTAAATTTTTTTATATAGAAAAATTCAAAATCCAACATATGCGTTTGTCCATTATAATTTATAAACACGATATAGGCCACAGTTAAGGAGCAATCGTCAAGAAATTTTCCATGTAAGTCCTTTTCCGACCAAAGAGGATGCCTATTGTTTATGGTAATAATCGGTAAATATTTAAGGAATGAAATGGACCAACATCTTAATTTATATCTGACGCCACAATTATGACCCTATACCATGAAGTTTTCCAAGGAGAAATGGATCTACCCATGGAATAAGTATTGCTGTTCACATGATGATCGGTCAATATTTAGAGTCAAAAGGATCCCCCAGGAGATGCTCAATTGTCTTCGTCTCCTCCTCGACAGCACAGAGTCTGCAGTAATCAGTAACATCATGGTTCCATTTACTGGTAAAGGCCCTGATATGCAATGACCAGTAATGACTCATCAGCTTTGTTCAGGTTCCGAAAAAAATTACAGATGGGTGCTTTGATAGAGCAACCGATTGCTAGATCTGTAGATTGATATCCTCGTCTACCTAATTCGTCTGTTTTTTCATTGCCCATGATGTCACGGTGTACTGGTACCCAACACAGCCGATAGCTTTGAGTGTTTCCAAATCTGTTTTACACTCGATGACGACCTCAGATTTGATATTACAGGATTTGATGGCTTTAAAAACCGCCTGACTATCCACAAAGATAGTCATCCGCTGCCTTCCAAATAGCGAAGATTTCAGCTTAGAAAACACTACAGTTGCTGTCTAGCTTGTAGGTAAGCTCAAGGCCTAGCCTTTCACAGTAGACGCCAGCCCCTATACCTTCTTTCATTTTGGATCTGTCTGTATAAAAAGTCAGACCGTCCAGAGGAGGGTTGCTACGGTTTCAGTCATCTCTACTAGGGATAACGACATCTACATTGTCAAATCTCAGGACTAGCAGGATACATCCATGCCTCTAGGTACAATTTCGTTTTGTAGAAATCGGCTATATTTCCATTCGATTTTATGAAAATATCACACCTAACTTCCAAAATTTTGTTTTGAGTCTAGATTAAAGTATGTTAAGTATCAAGGAAATCGATCCAGATTTAGATATAGCTCCCATATACATTTCCGTCCGATTTTATGAAAATGGCAAGTAAACACCCTAAGTATTGTTTTGAGTCTAGAATGAAGTGTTAAGTATCAATGAAATCGGTTCAGGTTTAGATATAGCTCCCATAAATATTTTTTCCGATTTTATGAAAATGTAACACCGGACTCCCAAGGTTTGTCCGATTGAGACGAAATTTTCCACATCGTATTGATTTGAGTCTAGCATGAAGTATGTTAAGTATCAATGAAATCGGTTCAGATTTAGATCTAGCTACCATATATATCTCCATCCGATTTTAGAAAAATGTAGCAACAAACTTCCAAGCTTTGTCCGATTGAGACGAAATTTGGCATAACGTATGGAATTTAGTCGAGGATAGCGTGCGTTAATTTTCATTGAAATCGATTCAAATATGTATGTATATAGTTCCCAAATATATTCTCCGTTTATTGGCAAAAAATTATTATAGAGTTGGTTACAAATATGCCATTTGTTGAACTTTAATGTTTATATAAGTTTAAAGGATTATTGTATTTCCTCAAAATTTCATTTTTTTCTTTTCATCCACAATTAAATCTAGAATTAAAAACAATAAATTATTATTAAGAACTAAAAAAGAACAAACATTGCTAAAATTTTTACCGGTCTTTTGTTGTTTTTTTAACTTTTTTTAACACTAGCAATTGGATTACGAACGTGATTTCTTTTGTTTCTATGATATTTTGTCAGCCAATTTTCCTTCAAGGATTAACACTCCTCCACGGTACCGGGTGTATTAATAACACAAATTTCAATATAAGTGTGGATACACATCCTTCATTATGAAGAAAAAACTTTTAAAAATTTGTAAACTCTTTAAATTCTTGTGAAATTGTCAAAAAGCCGCCGCAACACAACAAAACACAAACAAAAAAGAGCAAGAGAATAAGAGCATAGGAAAAAAAACTACCATCATACCATTCACAAACAACCATGCTTTTTTTGCTTTTTTTGTCTGCATAACACAAATGGATATACAATTTAGGTATCACAAAAAATAAAACACTGATTTTTTAAATAAAAAACACTCACCTTTAACTCAAGATTTATTTGTAATTCTCATCAATAATTTGTAACGAAAAAAACACGAGTTTGCCAATTGTCTATGGGAATTAATGCATGGCCAACATAGACGATACAGCGTTGTATATTTTAGGTAGTAGGGAGCGAGCAGTCAGCCCCAACCAACAGAGAAGATTAACAAGTAGAAGCAAAAAAAAACACACACACTCGCTGCTATGTATATAGAGGTTTATTATATACGTTTTCTTTATTTCAAATAGGCATACAATTTGGAGCCCGTTTTTTTTCTTCCTCTTGTTTTTTATTCTTTTATTTTTGTTACACGCACAAAAGTTTCCCTTTTTCCGAGGGGGAGTTTTAAATAAGTTTGAAATCCAATATCAACACTGAAATGGGCTGTTATCACAAAAAATTAAAAAACAACTTTTAATTATATTTTGTAGAACAAATTATCAATTTATTTTAATAAAAATTCACAAAATATATCTATTTTTAAATTTATATAATTTCTCGTATAACATTATTCACATTTTTTTTGTTTCTTTAAAATAAGAATTGAAATAAGAAAAAAATCTCGCGCGCGCCCTTCTCCACACAAACACAACAACAACAATAACACAATGTTCTACACGTCGTTGTTGTTGTATTGGGTATTACACCAACAATACGACGTCTCGTTTACTACTCTTTTTCACAAATCTGAAATTATTTTGCTGCTTCCTCTTATTCTTAAGTAATTATTTTTGACATGTTTTTTTTCTAATTTAAATTAAACTTTACTATTTCTTTTATATTTCAACAACACTTGAAATATTCTATTTTAATATGAAATTGAACTTAAAAAACTGCATTTCATTCTATGCCATTATTTATGGGCTGATTTTATACACGTAATTTTTTTCTTTTTATTCGAGAATTCATTTTCGGCTGTTTTTTTTTTCTTTGCTTGGTGATGAAGAAGACAACGACGACGGCGACTACAATGAACGAGTATGCACGACGACGACGACGATTGTACCACCAGTAGAAGAAAAAAATACGGGGAACGAAAAACGTTTTCAACGTGAATCTCTTTTTTTCGGTCTTCTTCCTTTTATACACACTCAACTCACATTTATGATTTAATTATTGCGCTCACAATTTTTCGAAAAATTCACAAACTCTTTGCCGCGTTTTTTTCTTATTTTTTAAATTTAATTGTGAAACACAAACGAAATTGTATTTTAGTTTTTTTTTCCTTTTCCTACGGAATATAATAAATCTGCGTCGAAGAAAAAAACGACTGTACTATCTGCAGGTAGCGTACTAGTTTGGTATTGTCTCCGAAATGAACGAATAAACACAACCAATTAGACGAAAAAAGCAACGAGTAACAGCACAGAGTTGTATATACAGGGGACTGTGAAATGTTTGTCAACTTATCGTCCAACTGTACACAGAGTGTCTTAATGTCATGCTTACACGAGAGGTGATTTTTTTTTGTTTTTTTACTAAACGGAATTGTTTATGACAGTAGCGGAGAGAGAGTGAAATTTATACGATTTCAAATGTCAATACGATAGTATTTGTGGAGAAAAACACATAAATCGACATGTACATTAGAACTTTTTTTCAGGGTTAATCTACTTTATGAGGATTTATTTGACAAATATGTAATGGAATTGACAATTAAAACCCACTGGGTTAACTTAATCCGGTACAATGTAAACGTACTATACGAGAATATCCAGAATAAGATTGTGTCTTGGTTGCCAGTATATTTTATGCTGGAACCTAATTCAATGCGTTGCGTACTGAAATATCCACCTTTTCACCTTTATAATGTTTGTTCAACGTCCGTATTACCCAAATACGCAAGGACCTTAAGTATATGTGTTTCAATTGAAAACGGTGAAAATTTGAGGAAAGCATTTTTTTAATTGTTTGAAAAATATGGATACAATAGAAATATAAATTTGATAGATTTTCATTTGTGTTTTTTAATTTTATTTTGAGGATTCCAAAATATTTCGTTTTTAAAATTAAATAAAATATTTTGATTTCTTATAAATTGAATGCTTTGTTCACATTTTTTGATTAAATGATTTATTTATTTATTTTTGTACAACAACACTTGCTATTAATTTATTTTATTTATTTGTTTATATCAAGTATCGATATTTCCTATAGGGAGCTATCTGAATTTGCCCGTCATTTTCAAGCCGATGAACGTTTATTTAACGGCGACACAGAAAAATAAGAACAGCTGTTTTCTTGTTCCTCGGCTCGTTTGCTTCAGTTGACAGGGTTGTATTTTGCAAACTTTGAATGTGAGCTACCCTAAAACAAAGTAAGAGTCTAAACGCAACCATAGAGTCTAGAGTCAGCGACAGCCGCTTGCCGAGTGTTTCTTATTGGCAACGGGAAATCGCGACGGCTGACGTTCGCGTCTAGCGGCATGACTCTAGAATAGATTTTATTCATTTTTGCTCAGCGTCATACTCAAAATTTCTCTCTTGCTCTCAATTGAGTTGCCATATTTTAGGTAAAAATCAACAGTGCTACCAAATTTCAATGAGAATTTTTAAAAAAACATATGGCAGTGCTGTTAAAAAAAACAAATATTTTCAAAGATTGTGGACGTTTTTTAACGAATTAATAATAAAATGGAACAAAAATAATTTTTTCAATAATTTTATCCAAGATCCTTGACATTATTGTTTATTAAATAATAGATTGATTTTGTTTTGCACAACGTAAAATTTTCTGTCAGAAAATAAAAACAAATAATTGACATTTTGTGCCGCTAACGCCAACTCTTTCGTTTGGTTTTCACGCCGGCGAAAAAGTATGACGCTGACTCGTGACTCTCTGGTTGTGTTTAGACTCGAATTCGTAATCTTCTGGGGGTTTGCTGTCTGGACTGGAAACCCAGGACTCAGACGCATCTAAATTATAAAAGACAGTTTATTTAAATTATTTAATAGAATAAATTATTAATAAAACACACATTTTATATTGATTTTAGTATTTTTGCATATATATCTCTCTGAGAGAGATTGCTCTCACTTCATATAACATAAAACGGGAAAGAAATATCCAACATTTGATCATATTAGCATGGCCAAGCGTTTATTTGCCCTGGATTTTGAGGTGTTTGGAAAAGTGCAAGGTAACTATCGACACATATATACTATTTATTTTAATACATATATCTAATTTTTATAGGGGTTTTCTTTCGGAAATATACCGAAAAACAAGCAAATCACTTGGGTTTAAGAGGCTGGTGTATGAATACCTCCGAGGGAACGGTTAAAGGGCAATTAGAAGGACCACAAAATGAATTAAATGAAATGTTTGTAAAGAATAATCATTCACTCTTTTTATTATTAATTGTTTATCGTTTTTTTTTTTTTTTTTTTTGTAGGAAACATTGGCTACAAAATAAGGGAAGTCCTAGTTCTCGCATCGATAAAGCAGAATTTTCCGAAATGAAACCCATAGAAGATTATAGTTTTCAAAGTTTTGGAATTAAACGTTAATCAAATTTGATTTAGTGTTATACATATTTATATATGCCCCATTTAAATCAGAAATAAAAAGAGGCTGTTTTATTATTAATTATTTAACAGATCAAAAACTATTTTAGTTTTTGTATAAATAATTAATGTTACCTCAATTTTCTATTGATACCATACTACATCTATACGTTTATATTGTTCGGACACCTATAGTAAAATTCAATGAAGGACTAATGTAATATTATTTAGAGCAAAAAGACGCACAAAATATTTTTTTTATAAATAAACAATTTGGTACTGATTTTTTGCTGTATTTATAGATTAAACTTGTTCCGGAACCTATATTGAAATGCGATGTAGAACTTTTTATATATTTATATTTTGTTCCTAAATAGATATGTTTTAGGAAATATAAGCATAATTTGGAAAAGGGTCACAAATATTTCTTTTTGTAAACAACCAATTTGTTACTGATTTTTGATAACTATATACTTCATTCAGAGATTTCATTTGTTCGTCGACTTATAGTGAAATTCGATATAGAACATTTTGTCCATTAACGTCCAGTTGCTAAAATTAAGTATTATAAGAAGTATAGGCGTAATTAGGAAATGCTTCAAAAATGCACAACAAATTCTTTTTTGTATAAATAACCAATTTTTTACTGATTTTTTTAGTGATATATACCATATCTACAGATTTAACTTGTTTGGGACCTATAGTGAAATTCGATGTATAACATTTTCTACATTAACACCTAAATTAAGTATAGTAGCAAATATTAAGTATAGTAGGAAATATGGACAAATTTTGAAAATAAGACAAAAATTCCTAATTTTTTAACGATATTTTATTTGATATGAAATCAGTATAAATATTTTGCATATTCGTGGACCTATTATGAAATTTAATTTAGAAAATTTTCTTCATTGACACTCAGTTTCTAAAGTTAATTATTTTAGGAAATATTGAGATAAATGGAAATTTTGGTCGATTTCAAAGAATAATTTCTTGTATAAATAATGAATTTGTTTGTGATATTTTTATTGATAAATACCATATCTACGTATTTCGTTTGTTCGGAGACCTATAGTGAAATTCGATGTAAAACATTTTCTTCATTAACACTGAGTTCATAAAATGAAGTATAATAGGAAATATAGACATAATTTGTAAATGGGTCAAAACAAGTGTTATAACATTTCTTTTATATAAATAAACAAATTTGTTACTGACTTTCTTTGATATGTAATGTATCTACAGATTTTTTTTGTTTGGGAACCTATAGTGCAATTCGATGTAGAACATTTTCTTCATTAACACTGAGTTCATAAAATGAAGTATAATAGGAAATATAGACATAATTTGGAAATGGGTCAAAACATTTCTTTTATAAATAACCAAATTTGTTACAGACATTTTTATTGATATGTAATGTATCTACAGATTTTTCTTGTTCGGCAACCTATAGTGAAAATCGATGTAAAACATTTTCTTCATTAACACTGTGTTCATAAAATGAAGTATAATAGGAAATGTAGACATAATTTGGAAATGGGTCAAAACATTCAAACATTCTTATAAATTCAATTCAATTTGGAAAAATGTCATAATATTTCTTTTATAAATAACCAATTTTGTTACTGACATTTTTATTGATATGTAATGTATCTACAGATTTTTCTTGTTCGGCAACCTATAGTGAAATTCGATGTAGAACATTTTCTCCGTTAATAATTTGTTCCTAAAATGAAGTATTTTAGGAAATATTGACATATTTTAAAAATGTGATGAAAAACGTCATACTATTTATATTTTGTATAAATTATCAATTTGTTTGGGATTTTTTGCTGGTATATACTATATTTACAGATTTAAATTTGTCGGAGGCCTATAGTGCAATTCGATGTAGAACATTTTCTCCTTTAACATTTAGTCCCAAAAATGAAGTATTGTAGGAAATATTTGCATATTTTGAAAATGTGATGAAATATGTCATATAATTTTTAAACTGTATAAATTCTCAATTTATTTTCGAATTTTTTATGGGCATATACTATATCTAAAGATTTTAGTTTGTCGGGGACTTAAAGTGAAATTTTATGAAGAATATTTTGTCCACTAACATAGAAATTTTCTATAAAACAATTAAGACATTTTGAATTCAATTAATTATTTAATACATTATAACAAAAAATTTGTCATTCGTTTATTGTTTAGCTTTGTTAAAATGTACAATAATAAAATAGCAGAGAAAAAAATAATAAATTTTACAATGAGATAAGTAACTGTTTTCAATTTATTAGTAATTACACAGAAGTGTGTAAGTATGTATGTATATTATTAAATGATATCAAAAAACCAATTGAAGAAATGCATTACAATAATATTGTGAAATTGTAAAATATTATCATTTGTAGTAATAGGACCATGAAATGGTATATTATATATAGTATTTAAATATTAATAATTATAATATATAAAGATGAAAGAGCGGGAGAAATACTAGTCATATATCTATTGCCAGCAATAATGAGAAACATAAAAATATTTGGTTTGTTACATAAAAAACTAACTATTATTGATTTCAGCCAAATTTTTGGCAGCCGTAAAGGTATTGTGCATTAACATGGCAACGGTCATGGGTCCAACACCGCCGGGCACAGGCGTTATATAACCGGCAACTTGTCGTACCTCTGTAAAAACAAAACATAATATGTGAGTGTTGAGATTTCCTCTTGGGAATATTTAAAATTGTTTACCCACCTTCATAATCCACATCACCCACAAGTTTGGTTTTGCCAGTATTTGGATCTGTGATACGTGTTATACCCACATCAATGACACAGGCACCCGGTTTAACCATTTCTTTGGTAATCAAACCCGGCACACCAGTAGCCGTTATAATAATATCAGCCATCGAACAGTATTTGGCCAACTCTTTGGGCGGTGTAAAACGATGACATATAGTCACGGTGGCATCCATGGCATTTGTCTCATTGCGACCATCGGCATGCATCAGCATAGCAATGGGCATGCTAACATTTTTCGAACGACCCACAACGACGGCATTCTTACCGAACGTATCAATATCGGTACGTTTCAACAATTCAATAACACCCAATGGTGTGGCCGGAATCATGGATTTCATATCCAAACACATGCGACCCACATTGAAGACATTAAAGCCATCAACATCCTTTTCACAAATGACAGCATTACAGATATTACGTTCATTCATGTGATCGGGTACGGGTAGCTGGACCAAAATGCCATCAACGCTTTTATCTTTATTCAATTGATCGATCAAATCGAGAAGTTCTTGTTCACTGGTAGTGGCCGGTAATCGCTTCGTCTCACTAGTAATGCCAACATCTTTGGCCGCGTTCATTTTCATACGGACATAGGTTTCACTGGCCTGATCCTCGCCCACAATGATAGCCGTCAGGTGTGGTTTACGATAACTGGCCGTGAACGCTTCAACATCTTTACGGATTTCGGCACGAATGTCAGCTGCAATTGCTTTGCCATCGATAATCTGAGCCATACTGTAAATGAAATATAGAGAGAGAACATATTTTTCATTAACACACTTGGATCCTAAAATTTTATTAGGAACTATTGTCATAATTTGAAGATGGGTTGAAAAATACAAAATACATTTTTTTCTTCTATAAACAATCAATATGGTTTCGACATTTTTATTTATATATAATGTATCTACAGATTAAATTTGTTCGGAAACCTATAGTGAAATTCGATGTAGAAAATTTTCTTCATTAACACTGAGTTCCTAAAATGAAGTAGAATAGGAAATATAGACATAGAATTTAGAAAAGTGTCAAAGCATTTCTTTTATAAATAACTCAATTTGTTACTGATATTTTTATTGATATGTAATATATCTACAGATGTTTCTTGTTCGGTAACCTATAGTGAAATTCGATGTAGAACATTTTCTCCTTTAAAACTTTGTTCCTAAAATTAAGTATAATAGAAAATATAGACATAGAATTCGGAAAAGTGTCAAAACATATCTTTTAAGAATAACAAAATTTCTTACTAACATTTTTATTGATATATGTATATTACATCTACAGATTTAAATTGTTCAGGAACCTATAGTGGAATTCGACGTAGTACATTTTCTTCCTTAACACTTAATCCCTAAAATGACGTATTATAGGAAATATGACCATAATTTGAACAAAAAAAAAAATGTTTACATTTTTTCCATTTTTTTATCGAAATATAGGCATTACATTTACAGATAGATTTGGTTTATTTGGAGACCTATAGTAAAATTCAAGGCAGAACATTTTCTCCATTGACACCATATCCCAAATATGAATTAGTATGGGGTTTTTTTGTGATAACAACAATTGTGGCCTCCATTTAGTTAGAGGTTCCAATTGCAGCTCACATTGCAACAAGTTGTTTGTGTATGTAAACGCTTGACATGAAAACAACATCAGTGTGAGAGGTTCTTTACATTTTGAATACGTTGCAAAAATACTCAATCATGTCATTCATAATCTTTTAAAATTATTAATATATGAATATATATTTTTATTTTTTTATTATTTGTCATCTCCTTTCGATTGTACGAATGTTCGTATGCATGTAGACTGTCATAAATGTACATCACGTAGCAGGAAAAAAGCACACACAGTCCAGTTCCACCACATGGCAAATGTGATTCCCCATTACTCGAGACATTAAATAGAAAAACCACAATGTATGGCTGGCCTTAAAGGCCACAGACAAGCTCTCACTGTCGCTGTTCTCTCTCACTCTCTCTCTACATCTCACAGATTATGGTATGAGGAGGCATGTAGTAGGTTACTATGCACTTCCATCACCTTCATCATCATCATACGAGGAGGTTGTTAAACTACAATTCTATATAAAAAAAGTAGAATATACACTCACCACAATATGTTCGTATGTGTGTGTATTGGTTGTAATAAATATTCGCGATACGACATTCAATGCAACACCGGCATTTCTATGGTTGTTGTTGCTCAATGTATACTATATGCAAAAAAAGCAATGGTATAAGGGGAAACCCCAATTGTAAATCCCCGATGTATACACACACCCATAGAAATTCATATTATTGAATATTGCAAAAAAAGAAACAAACTCATACTTTTTTCCTTAGAAATTTTAGATCAAATGTGGGAAAATCTCTTCATCTTCTATTAATATTTGGCATGACTTCTCGTAAATTTCGCTGACCTATAGTGAAATTCGATGTAGAACATTTACATCATTAACACCCAGTTTTGAAAATGAAGTATTGTAAAAGATATTAACAAATTTGGGAAGTGATATAAAATATAACAAAAAAATATTACTCATATAAATAAATATTTTTTATCGATATTTTTACTGATATATATGATATCTACAGAGAACATTTTCTTCATTAACACCCAGTTCCGAAAATGAAGTATTGAAGGAGTAATTGACAAAATTGGAAAATAATACAAAAAAAAAAAAAAAATACCAAACAATTTATTGCTCGTGCGAAATACTCAATTTGATACCGATTTTTTAACTGATATATACTATGCCTATAGATTTGACTTGTTTGGAGACTTTTAGTGAAATTCGATAGAGAATATTTTTTTCATTAACACCCAGTTCCTTAAATTAAGTATTGCGGGAGATATGGGCATATTCTGAAAATATCCAATTTGTTACTGACATTTTTATTGATATATACTATATCTACAGATTGGGCTTGTTCGGAGATTTATAGCGAAAATTGACCCCAAGAGCTGCCTCATCTGCTTGCGCAAGTACCCATGCTTCAGATCCATATAATAGCACGGGTAGTATCAACGTCTTGTAAAGTGTGAGTTTGGTCTGGCGGGAGGTGGCCTTGTTTCTAAACTGCTTACTTAGACCATAGTAGCATCTGTTGGCCATCACAATCCTTCTCCGAATTTCAAAACTGATGTCATTCGTTTTATAAATGGCGTACCAAGGTATATAAAATCTTTAACTACCTCAAAGCTATAGTTCTCAAGTTCCACAGTTGGTCCGAGTCTACTGGACGTCTTGCGCGTTGATACCATCAGCTTGGTCTTCTGACCGTTTACTGTCAGACCCACTTTGGCAGACTCCTTTTCACTGAACCACCTTCAAAAATGTCGCCAAACCAAAAAATGTTGCCAAAATTGGAAAATGGGACAAAAAACAACTCTGTCCTTGAAGATATATATATGAGATATGAGGTATATTACCTCACCCATATGGTGGGCTGGGATTTAACAACGAAATTCCATATCAAAAACAAAGAAAACCTTCCAAGACGCCTTTAAAAAATAATATAAAGTACTCTTTATTTTATATTATATACTTGATTATACCATGATTTTATTATTATGTTTGATGATTAGTTTTTTACATAACTCTTTTTACTTGGTCTCTTATAAAATAGAATCAAAAATTAAATGTAAAAATATATATAATTTTTAATTATATGTATTAACAAATATTATTCTTAAAAATAAAACCTAAAATAAAAAAAGTTAAAATTATTTCTTTATTAATCCTAATAGATTTGAATCAATTTCTTGCAATGTCTGGGCAAATTGCTGAACATTGATACTTTCAATGTTGCGTCGAACATAGTCCAACATCATATCCGGTTGGCTGAGATAAAATGTAGGTATTGGTAATTTGCGTTTCCACAAATCGTTGCCACTTAAGACTTTAGACAATTGTGAAAATATGTGGGGATCTTCCAGGGCCGTAGTCAATTGTGAAGTTGTAAAATATTCTGCAGCATCATCTTCTTGTTTCTCAATTTTTATTTGTACATCCATGGCACATTCACCATCGTCATTAAGCTTATTTGGATTTCTGTTGTTTGTTTTATTGGCATCAAGGGGTCCTGGTAATGTGACCATTGGGGGCATTGGCCGATCCATATAACTATTACTATCCTCATCGTCATCACCATCATCATCATCATTGTCCGTAGAGGAGTGTGAAGAGGGTTCTTCTTCTTTGATAATCAGATTTGAACAACTGTCTATGTCACTGAACGGCATTACTATCACACCAGCAGGAGAATTGTCAGCTGATGACTTTGTTGTTGTCGTTGTGGTTGATTGTTGACAGTGCACCTGCAGTAAACTCAATATTTCCCCAGCCTGTTTGGTGGTTGTGGCCAATTGCCTGGCCACATCCACAGGCGTAAGGCCAGCTGTATTGCGAGAATGTAAAAGCGACTCCACACCACCACCTCCTCCTTGGGTGTGATTGTTGCCGTCCAACATTATTTTCACCAATTCCAAATTCTGTTGTTGTATTGAAATGTGCAGAGCATTATTGCCATCGATTGAATTCGGTATCAGTGCCAAACTGGCATCGTATTTGATGAGCTTCGAGACAAGTTCACAATTATTATCACGCACGGCCAAATGTAGGGGCGTGAAACCATCATCGTTACGTAACTTCAATTTCAATTCCTTTTTCGATATTAGAAATGAATCCAGACAGGCGGTGTGTTTTTCACGCACCGCAATATGCATGGCGGTGTCACCGTTTTTATCCTGTACATTTGGATTACAGCCGAGACTCAGCAGGGGTCGGATATAGTGCGGATGATTGCAGAGGCAGACGGTGTGCAGGGCAGTTTGATTTTTATTATTTACAATGGTATTCAAGAGGCTGTGCAATTGGAAATGTTGCAGGATGTGACACAAGTGTATGGCATATTTGCTATTGTCAGTGGCCACCATTTCATGGATGAGAGAATCTCCGTTTGGATTTAGATCCGAATAATCGCTATATAGTTTGTTTATGCTGTCGGCGGCCTGTTGGCGTTCGTTGGGGTCCAATGAGGAACCCTTGCCACGAGCATTCAAATATATTTTAACAATTTGCTGTATATAACTACTGCTGCTGCTGGTTGCGGCGGCTGCTAATTTCTGTTGTTCTTGCTGCTGCTTAGCGGTGTCCATTAGTTTTTTACTAATCATTAGCTTTTTATAGTGCAAAAGAGATTTACTCGAATCCGAGGTGTTGGTGGCGGCACCATCCTTTTCTGTTGTGCCAGCACCCACACCCCCACCTACTGCCGCTGATGATGCGGTTGTACTATTAATAAAGTTTTCTCCTGCATTCATTAAATCCTGTTCCAAATTTAAGATATTCAATATTTCATCGCTATAACCCAAATCTTCATTCGACAGATCTTTACATTTCCGACGCAATTCCTCATTATTGATTAGCCGTTCAATTTCCTCACTCAAGAATTTGGATAAGCTACCGGAACATTGTTGTTGTTGCTGCTGCTGGTGATTTTGTTGCTGCAACTGCTGCTGTTGTTCTTGTATGGTACGGGGCAATTCTCCGGAGCTTAAGGAACCCGAATTGCTACCACCACTGCTGCTACTACCCGAAATTGAGGAACAAGTACGACGTCGTTTACGTGATGTGACGGCATCTCTGGGTTTGTAACGAAACAGCACCGGCGGTTCACTGCGCTCATCATCGGACGGCCGTACCAATTGAATGAATACCTCAACTGGCTTATCAATATCCTTATTAGCATAGGCTGGCGTGCGACATACAATGGCATATTGATGATGGACATCGGATTCACGGAAGCTGGCAAATGCCTCCCACACCAAATCGTCTTCGTTCATTTCGAAGAAGCGCACTTTGATATTTTTCTTATTGACCTTCTCGACCAATAATATTAGATCTTCACCACCCGTGGCACTGCCGGTGGCAATGCTTAAACGGGTGATTTTCAGTTCACCTGTTTGGGCCGATTTACGGTTGTTAATTGTGTTGGAATAAACAGGAGCAGCAATGGGTGTATATCGGCCGTTGGTGCTATCAACACTAAAGGCTTCGAAGCATAAACGAACCTGGGTAATGCAACAAAAATAGATAGAAAATGAAAATAAGATTACGATTTGTTGCAACACAACTGCATACCTCTAGTTTTTAAGGAATTTGATGTAACAACTCCAGTTTAGTAAAAAAAAAAGAAAAAACCGAACTTTTTATACCCATAAAGAGGTTGATATGCATAAAATTGGTCGATATACCTAAATTGTCGAAATACCAAAAACAATCTATTCTTTTTCGTGCGAAATACCAACTTTTTACCGATTTTTTAACCCATATATACGTCGTCTTCGTGATGAAGTGAATTTAATTTGGTCCATTTTCTGGCGTAACCTTCACCAAAAAAGTTCCACCCTTGTCTTTAAGGTCATAGGCCTCCGTCTGACAAGTTAGATCCATGTTTTCGCCAAAAGGCGTTTATGTTCCCGATCGATTTTATTTATTTTGATGGTCTAGCCTTTCTTTTGACAAAAATCTTCAAATACAACTTCCGCGACGTTTTCATTAAGGTCATTGGTCAATTTAAAAAAATCTTAACAAACAAACATTTAAGTTCCCGATTGATTTTATTTTTATGGTTTCTAGCGCCTAATTTTTCGTGGTGGAGTAAATTTTATCTGGCTTTTGTTTTGGCATAAAACTTTAAATAAAAGTTCCAACCCCTTTTCAATAAGGTCATTGGCGAAGATAAAAGAAACCCTAAAAATTTAGGTCCATGTTTAACCAAAAACTTTGAAGTTTCCGACAGATTTTATTTATTTTGGGTACAGATAGCCCTCTGGCTGAAAGGTATAAAAAGTTCGGTACGACCAAGCTTGACCACGTTTTACTTGGATTTTGTTTTACTAAACTAGAGTTGTCATGGTTAACATGAGGCAATTTAAATTCCGACAATTTTTAGTTCGTTGATGTGGAAGCTAGGTAGCTCTCTCTCTCTCACACACACTCAATAAACTTCGGAACTGCAGTAATTTAAATTGCTCCTTTTTGGTAGAGTCTCCTCCACAATTGACAAGTATTTTCTTTGATTTACCTGATTCAAATTCATATCCTTCGCCTCCCTTTCCGTTTGTATGCTCAGCTCCTGTTGTTCCCTTGTCGTCAGATTATCCCGACCCAGTTCAAACTGTAAACGTTTGCGTTTCTTTTTCAACAGTTCTTCGACGATGAACTTTTTGGCCGTATGAATAATTCCCATATTTTTGAATTCAACATAAAATCCCTTATCCGGTGACACATTCAACTCGTGTGGATCACAAATGTCATGATCATCTTCACGTATTACCAATTGATGGGAATGGGGGCTGTCACGATTGGCTTGAAATAAGCTGCAGCGTATAATGGCGGGTTGATCGTAGTCACACAATTCGATTTCGGGAAAAGTTTTTGTACTACGCTGAGAATTGGCACCGTTCAGAGAACCATGGGTACCATGCATTTCCGATTTGTAGCGAAAACGGAATTTTTCAACTGGTTGTTCGACGATGCGCAGGGTAGCTGGATATTCACGTTTAACGGGCATGTATGAGGATGATGCTCCTCCGGCTGTTGTTGGTTGTTGGAAATTAATGGGCGCCACCGTTGCAGTGCCAAAACTATAGTTAACAGCCATGTTGTTGTTGTCACTATTATAACCTGGTGCGGTATGGTTTATTGCAACATTCTGCAATTGCAAATATTGGCTAGGATATATTTGTTGCTGCTGATAGCTATTATTCTGTGCTGGCGGCAATGCCAAGTTAGAGAATTCCGCCTGCAGTATAGTGGCTGGCGAATGTGCTGGAGAATAGTTGGACGAGCTGGGTGAATTACGAGGGTCTGGTGATGTTGTTGTTGAATAGCCACTGGTGCCAGACATTGACGATTCACTGATATATCGAGTCCTTTCTTGTGTATCCATATCGATAATATCCTTGTCATGTGATTGGAAAAAATGTGGCAACATGATTTTCACTTTTTCTCTTTTTAGACGTCAGGGGGTCAGCACAAATTTTTCCGTTATAATTTTTCTATTATTCCACACCAAAAATTTATTTGCAATTATAAATCTTAGCAATTATATTTCTCTTATTTTTCTATTATTTTTTTCTTCTTAATTTTTGCTAAAATGCTGCGTAATTCCTTGTTAACAATTCAACGATTGTTATTGCAATGGTAAAAACTCTCTCTCGTGTCAATTATCATTGACTAACCAACCAACAAAGCTGGCTGCCTGGCTGCTGAGTCTGTATGTGTGTTTTTGGTTCGCGACTGTTTAGCGTGTGTATCTGTGTTGTGTATTGTGCTTATCTGCTCTTGATTCATTCGTTGGAAAAAATAAAAATGGTTCTTCCCCGTCATGGGCACACACACACACTTATATACCCATACAAATGACACAAATTATTAAATGATGCTTTTGGACAGGCTGGAGAAAGAGGTAACAGCCAAAAGGGGGGCACGCACTTGGTTCCACACAGCAGACACCACAATAACAAAAATATGTGAAATATTTGTATTGGTGAGTCACAATAAAACTTCCACGTAAATTTCCAAAGCTTAATTGTTTATTGTAGTTCTTGTTTTTTCTTTATTGATTATACTTGTTCTTGGCACATTGTTGTTTTTTTTTTAGTAAAACGAACAAACTGTTTTTGTTAACACAACCCGAACGAACAACAACGACGACGATGATGACAGCGCTCAACTCAACTGATCCGGCTGACAGTCACAATATGAATAAAAGTTAACAATTTTTTTAGTTAATTTCTCGAAATAAACTTCATTAAAAAACAATTTGAAAGCTTTTTTGCTTTAATCTATTGCGTCACACACAGTTCTAGGGTGAATGTGTGTGTGTTGGTAGATACGAACGTCGTGATCATGCAAAACACGTTTGTTTTTTCCGTTTTATTTTTTTGCATTGCAAAATAAAATTGGACTTTCATGTGCATGAGGGTAGTTCACATGCCACAATTACTCATATAACAAGTGGAAATATGCAAAAAGGGGAAGCACATTTTATAAAATGTAGACAATAAAAAATATATAAAATAAAAAATGGCATAAACATCAATCACATTGACATCCATACAACGATTTCTTTTCAACAAATATTTTGACATTGATTTCTCATCGAAGAGAAGATGTTAAATGGAAACCACGTGTTTTAACAATACAAAAAAAAAAAAATAGTAATTCTACTTTGTTGTCAACTTTCAAATCAGTTACAGTCGAATCCCATTAATTGCAAACATATTCACAGAAAATGATATTTTGCAATAAAAAGCATCGTTTCTAATTTTATTAAAAAAGACATAAAGGCAATTCTGTGGCCCGATAATAAGTTCGTCCGATGAGGCCAAATGATTTCATCCGAGCTGTCAAAATGATTCCAATAGTAAAACACATGTTTTTTATATAAAAGTTACTAAAATACGTCGACATACGAATTTTCGAATTTGAACAAATCCAACTTTGATAGAACCCAGGCCTATTAATAAGGTTATCTAGGGCAAAATCTATTAATAAGGTCACCCAGATAGCGAATGTTAGCTGTTTTACTCAATGCGAATGTCAAAATGTTGGCTTTTGTTTACGTTTTCATAATGGAAGTCTATTCACAATAATGAATTTTGACAGCAAACTTGAGAGACAGTTAATATTTAGCTGGTCTCCTGGACGACCTTATTTCTAGGCCTTGATTCTGGGAGACCGGCTGCAAATCAGCTGTCTTTAATGTTTGCTGTCAAAATCCATTATTGTGAATTCACTTAAATTATGAAAACGTAAAATAATTCAAATATTTTTGATATTAGACTTACAGTTGATGTTCGGTGTGATCCTTTTAATAGATCTTTGACAGAATGTATTTTGTTTTTTTTTTGTCGTTTGTTTGAAATAGAAAAAAAACAGAACAGTTCCGTTCCAGAACCTAAAGGAATCTACTAATTTTACAAGTTTTGCACCTTTTCTCGATAACCGTTCCTGAACCCACAAAACATTGAACCAAATTTAAGAGAACACAAAACAAAATGGTGCTCTCTTTGTAAACTTTTTACTCTAAAAATTTGTCCGAGTAAAAATGTTAAACAGAAATGCCAACTTCTGATTGGCAGTTATTTTGATTTTGAAGTATTGCCACCTAATTTTGGCATATATAGTAGATTTGCGTTCCCGAACTTTTTAAATTATTTTGTGCTCTGATATCGATTTTGAAATATTTCCCTTTTTACCAGATTTACTATTAAAAAAGTACTGGAACAGAACCAACGAGAATCGGATATATTTGTACAAATTTTTGGTATGTTCCCGTACTGCAAGAACCTACTGGTTTTTACAACGATAATAAATTTTCCTTAAGATTTTAAGATTCTTGCAGTACACCATTTATTTTTCTCTTTTGTTCCTCGATATATAGGAAATAGATTTAACCATGGTTGTTACAACTTATATTTATAATTTTTAGAGGCAGGGAACATCAAAATATTTATAAATATGAATTATTTGGCAATTTTTCCACATGATATGCGTACATTTCGAAAGAAGATATATTCATTTAAATTTTGAAATCTGAATACTGTCAAAGGCAAATTTATGAAAAAATTGGAAACATATGACTGCATGAGACTACCTTGTATAATTATGGCATGCCTTTTTATCTTGGGCCTAAAACGGAATTTTTGCCAGGTTAAACTCCTTTATATGGATTTATTTGACATATATATAATGGAATTGACAATTTATATCTACTGGACTTAATAATTTCGCTATAAGGTAAACGTACTATAAACTTGTCATTGGCAACTGCATTATTTGTTGGAATTTCTAAAATTTAAATGAAAACAAACGAAAATATAAATCGAATTCTACCCATGGCATGACTATACAAGGTAGTATCATGCAGTCATGTGTTTCCAAATGTTTTCATATATTTGCCTTTGACAACATTCAGTATTCAAAATTTAAACGAAAATAACTTCCTTCGAATCTTATGTTCAGTGGTAACAATTTTTTACTCATTTATATTTATTAATATTTTAAGTTCCCTGCCTATAAAACATATAAATATAAATTGCAACATTCTTAGATAAATCTTGGGAATAATGTCGAGATTTAGAAAAAATATTTTTTTTATTTTATGGAATTTATTTTTATTTTAATTGATATATAAATTCCATTATCGATTTCTCAAATGAGACTACCTTGTATTGTTATCCCATGATATATTTGGCCTGTTCCCGTACTGCAAGAATCTACTAGATTTTACTATTTTCTTCGATATCATAAAGGAAAATTCGTTATCGTAGTAAAAAGTAGTAGATTCTTGCAGTACGTGAACAGACTATTTGTAAAATGTATAGTTATATCTTAAATAAAAAAATAGAGATATTTTTAAACAGAAAATATAAATTTTTAATTTTTTAAAAAATATGCTATTCGACATGCATAACATTTTATGGAATTTATTTTTCAAAAAAAATTGAAATTGATAAATGATTCCAAATTTAAAAAGGGTTGCCATATAAATTTCTCAAATGAGACTACCTTGTGAAATTATGTCATGATAATCATTTATTAGTATTTTAATAAAGAAAATTGTTTTTTGTTTGTTTTCTTTTTTAATTATATCTATTTGAAACAATTAAATATATCTACTTTTGAAACCAGGAAAGAAATACAAATATATATTTACCGTGTTGTGACAGGTTTCACTGTATTATGTACTTAATAAAGCTCTCCCACAATGTTTTCTCTCTCTATCTCTCTTCAACACATATTTGATCAACAAACATGTTTGAACTTTTTTTCCAACTAGGGTGACCACTAATAAGTAGTGTGAACAGCTGTTGATGTTTTATGCAAAATCGTACATGATTTCTAGCACATATATATATATATATATATAATAATAACCGTACATTTGGATTTATATATCAATATTTAAGCAAAAAAATAAACAATTTAATCATTTTTTCACTTATTTTCATTTAACACTTATCGAACATTCTATTCGGTGTGGTACAATTTCGCATCTAGTGTACCCTATACAGACACTCACTCTCTCTCTCTTCTCACACCCATTTGACAATTTTATGCTAAACGCTTTGTTTTTATACCGGTTCGTTCAACAACGATACACACATGTAGTGAAGTACATATTGTTTTTTTTCGTCTACCAACCTGAAATTTTGCCGCATGTGGGCTGAGAATTGTTGTAATCGAACACATTTTAATTGAATGTGATAATTTCTGGTTCGTAACAACAAACGTACGCCTATCATTGGTGTAGGAAAATTGATGAAAAAAAATGCACTTTACACAAAACACAACAACCGAACAGCTTTATTTTATAATAAACACTAAAAGGAGGCGATGAAGAAGAGTTACCCCCAAAGCCGAAAAAGGTAGGTAGGCAGGCAGGCGGCACACTCGCAATACGTAGTAGAAAATCAGCAGCACCAACAACAACAATACTGTAATAGAGCTTTCACGTTTTTCTTTCGTTTCGTTTTATTTTCATTAGATTCGAATGGATTTGATTGGAACCAAACGAAATAATGAGGAAGATTTTTGAATTTAAACCAAAAAATGTAAACAGTATAGATAACTGAAGGTAATTTTAGGCGGGTTTTATTTAAAAAAAATAGTTTTTTTTAATTTAAATATAAATTTTTTGGCATATAAATTCAAAAATATATTTTTTGTTTAAATTTAATCAATATTTACCCTGTTTTTTTTTTTTGTAGAATTATTAACTATTCAACACAAATCACAATTTTTTTTGTCCAACACACAACAACGTGTTTTTTCTGTAAAAATAAACTGCCGCTTCGAGCGGTCTTCAATTCAAGAATTCTGATTTGAATGAGAGCAGCCAGCCAGTCGATCGGTCGATCGTCGTACATACATTTTCATTTATCCAATTTTATTCTTTTGTTTACTACTTCTGCTACACATGGTGCC